CCTTGATCCCCCCCCCCCCCAACCGCCCAACGGCATTTTAGACCCTGAATTCAGTAAGATTTAAAAATATCCTTTTGTATTTCATGCGTTGAAAAGTTTCCTGTGTATTTACAAAAAAAGAAAGAATTATACATCAATAATTTGATCGAACTGAAATTCAACCCAGTTTATACTATTAACATTATTATTAGTTTACAGGGGAAAAATAGCTAAACATGATAGCGTCCATATAAACTTCTGCCGTCTTCCACGAAATTCAGCGATCTTTTAGATGTAACAGTTTGTTGCAAATTTTGATATTTTCTGAACCCTATGAATTTCTGGCCTTGCGATCGCTTTTTGGAGCCCCTTGCCCAAAGAAGAAACAAAAAATTTTGTGTTTGCGGGCCTGCTTTTGGAGCCTCACCTTTTTTAACTTTGGGGCCTCGCGTTTTTTTTAGTTTGGGGTTTCGCTTTTTGGGGCCTTGGACTCTGTAGGGCCCCGCGCTGTTTGGATCCCGCTCTAAAACAGGGAACAAAAAAATCGTCTGGGGCCCCGCACTTTGGGGCCTCCATTTTCAAATTTTGGGGGCCTATAACGTTTTCTGGGGACCTTGGGCTCTTTGGGGCCCCGCGCTGAAACGAACCACTCAAAACAGGGAACAAAACGAAAACGTTTGGGGTCGATTTTTTGAGGCCTCGAGTTTTCTGGGGGACTTAGGCTCTTTGGGGCACCGCTCTGGCGCACTGTTTGGGCCCCGCGCTGAAACAGAAAACAAAAAATTCAGAAAAAAAATAGAAGAGAGAAGCGCGGGGCCCGCAAAAGCGCGGGGCCCGTAGCATATGCCGCTTCTGCCATATGGTTAATCGGGCACTGCCCTCAGCGCATTGTAATGTTGTTACCAACCCGAATGTAAGAAAGCAGATCCTATACAAAAGGAAGGCAGATGTTATATCTGCCTTCGGAAAAGCCATGTCAGCCGAGGATGCACATCGTCCCTGAAATGTTATCACTGTGGAAAACGTCACCATGCGAGTATATGCAATGCCAGACCATCCAGAAACAAAAATGAGAAAGAAACCCACAACGTCAACCATGAAGGTACCAAACCCCCCAAAGACCAGAAGAGCAATGACACCCCAAATAACAGGCAAACCTCCAACAACACTCCGGATAACAAGCAAACCTGCTATGAGGAAAGAAAATCTCATTCTCTATATATTAAAAATGGCACTCCCATATTGTTACAAACTGCACAGGCAGAAGCATATAAATCAGATGCCCCAGAAACAAGCATTCCGGTGACAGCCAAAGATGAAAGATCCTATATACGTGATTAGTTAATCATCCGACAAACTACGTTTTGTGCAACGCAATTAAGTCGTGTAGTTAACTAATCATTATAGTTAAAGATTTAACTACAGTGATTAACGCTAATCATAGTTAAAGTTAACGATGTTTTTATACAACCGGCCCCAGACTAGAGACTTCATGGCATAAGCGTAAAGTGTGTATAGTTTATACTATCGCCACGACTAAAAGCTCGCTGTCTAGCTTTGATTTCCATTTTAATGTGGCTTGTCATCCACGGTTTGTCTGAGTTTATTTTATTTATTTTATTTTACAAGTTTGCTATTATTAAAGATATAAACTATAACTATAAATTACACACAATGGTTGGAATGACCACACAGAGATAAAATCTCCAATAACGGGGTTCCACAACATACAAAAACATAACAATAATTTACACTTTGGCGTGACAGATATTAGACATACTAATAAACAGATAAACAAATTAACAGGCCACAAATTGAAACAAACAACGATAAGACAACGGAATGAGATCCTCATTGAAATTCTGAACTCGTGAATGAAGTACTTGAGTAATTAGAAGCTGTTAAGATTGTTTATGTATCTAGCAAGCTATATTGGAATTTAATGACTGCCTTCCCCATCACGCACACCGTCTGCAACTGCCAGAATGCTATACTCATACGAGTTGTGGACTCTGATGGTTTTGACGGGCACCTCCGTGTCAAGCATGTGCATCACAGTTTCGTTGACTGACAGCTTGACCTTTTCGTCCACATCTTCAGCACGGAATATACGCTCCCATGTTTGCAGCGCCACTTTCAGACTTAAAGCGGCTTGATCATGTTTCCAGGTTTCATTAATCTGGCTCTGACTCTCTTTGTCGTAGGAGGGATATTTTTTGGTTTAAGGAGAATACACTGGTGGTCTGATCTACCAATAGGGGGTAGGTGGCTGGCTGAGTCAAACAGATTAAACATGTTTGTAGCAATTTGGTCCAGGGTATTTTTCCCTCGAGTGAGCGCTGACACGGTTTTAAGTAGTCCAAAACGGCTGCATACACGACTGATGTTCAACATATTGAAATCTCCTGCAATGATAATTCCTGAAGATATCCATTTGGTAAGTATAATGTCCAGTCCGTTAGAAAGATACTCTATCATTTCATAGTCATTTTCACGCCGTTGACCAGGTGGGTAGGTATACAATAACGATAATAATGGTGCTAAAGGTTCTTGTGGTGCGAGGTGGTTTTAAAACCAGCCATAGAACTTCTTTACCGGTTTCCTCTAAATGAGTTATACGTTCCACGCGGATGTACGAGCTAATATACGCTAGGATACCGCCGCCTATAGGCTGTCTCTACCAATCGGAATATTTCATAACTATTCCCGATTTTAATTGCCGAGTTTGGTATATTTTTTGATAGCCATGTTTCACTGACTAGTACTGACCATTATTACAGAGGGATTGTTGACTGAGACAATACCAGACAGCTCAACAATTTTATTGCTTATATGGCAAACATTTGAGAAGAAGGTTGGGCAAACAGAAGATGGATTTGCTGGGGACTCAACAGTTTTGACTTTTATACAGTTATACAGTATACTTTTATAAGCATGCTACGTTTGTTCAGGAAATTTTCGTTGTAAGGTATTATGCCGCGTAGTTAATCGAACTGGGATGTTGTATGTTACATCCTTTATATTAGAGGTGGTGTAAATTCGGATTGTTATCGTGTTCACCATCGTAAACGAGGTGGGTATATTGGAGTATTCATCAGAGGTAGTATCCAAGGGTGGGTAGGCCATGATGTCATAGGGGAAATCTAGGGGAACCTGCGTGTTAAACTATTATAAATTTTATCGCCATGCAAACATACAAAGAACTTAACCTGCGTGTTGTTGCTCCTCTGGGGGAATTGCATCAAATTTGGGGACGCTGTCCTTTGTGTATAGGATAAAAAAGGATTAAGATAACTTGAATCGAACCCTTGAGTCGGATGAGTATTTGAAGAATCGCTATGTAAGAAGTCGCACTGGTTTCCCTTCAGACAAAAACCCTTCCGTCGTAGGAAAAGGTAATGTATTCTATGTTTAGGCACTCTGTTCGATGGCTGGTTCTGATGCGAATATTCGCATCAGAACCAGCCATCGAATCAGTTGTTCACATGATTCAAAATTTATAATTATGCAGAGATAATTATGCTTATAAACGTTCGTAAATGTTCGTCGGAAAAGCTCGGTATTTGTTGGATTTTACGAATCCGCCACGTGACCGTACCGCTCACCGCTCATGCACCGACCACGACACGAAATTTAGAGCTATATGAAAGTTGCATGCCATATATGGCATGCAACAAAAACCAGTCAAGCTTAAATACTAGCAAAACTTACCCGTCGAATAACAAAGATCAACATGCTAATTACGAGACAAACACTACCACCAGTATGAATATTATGTCTAAAAATGACACTCCTTGTCCCTCTCTTTTGCGGAGAGGCTGGTGCTTAAAGAAGCAAAATTGTGAACTTTTAAAAAGTCACAATTTTGCTTCTTTAGGCACCAGCCTCTCCGCAAAAGAGTGACAAGGAGTGTCATTTTTAGACATAATATTCATACTGGTGGTAGTGTTTGTCTCGTAATTAGCATGTTGATCTTTGTTATTCGACGGGTAAGTTTTGCTAGTATTTAAGCTTGACTGGTTTTTGTTGCATGCCATATATGGCATGCAACTTTCATATAGCTCTAAATTTCGTGTCGTGGTCGGTGCATGAGCGGTGAGCGGTACGGTCACGTGGCGGATTCGTAAAATCCAACAAATACCGAGCTTTTCCGACGAACATTTACGAACGTTTATAAGCATAATTATCTCTGCATAGTTATAAATTTTGAATCATGTGAACAACTGATCATGTGACGTGATGTGAATTGACCATTTGCGTAATAGACTAAATTTTGATATTGACAAAAATTTCATCATAGCTTGAAAGAGCATCACAAAATTAGTAATATTCCGAAGTTTTGTTGCGAAATGTTGTAAAATGCGGAAAATATAGCCTTGCGAAATTTGTGATTTTCAGTAATTTTAGATTACAAACGGGAAATTGACAGCCTCGAACCCTTCGAGGCTGTCAATTTCCCGTTTGTAATCTAAAATGACTGAAAATTGCAAATTTCGCAAGGCTATATTTTCCGCGTTTTACAACATTTCGCAACGAAACTTTGGAATATTACTAATTTTGTGATGCTCTTTCAAGCTGTTATGAAATTTTTGTCTAGACTTGTTTAGATCAAAATTTAGTCTATTACGCAAATGGTCAATTGTGATGCAATTTTCGTCGATTCTTGGCCGAATATTTTAGATAATCGAGTGCTTTAGAAGGTAGGCAAAGCTTTGCTGTTTTTAATTTACGTTATATTCTGATATCTGTTGTGATTTTGGAGCCTTTGTGCTGGCACTGATTATTTATCAGGCGTTATTATATAGTGTGAAAGGCCACGCTATCAAAATACACAATTTTATACTCAAACTGAAACGGAGCCATTGTGCTCGCACTGATTATTTATCAGGGCGCTATTAGCGTGAAAGGCCACGCTCTCAAATACACTCAAATTGAAACGGAGCCATTGTGCTCGCACTGATTATTTATCAGGGCGTTATTAGCGTGAAAGGCCACGCTCCCAAAATACTCAAGTTGAACCGGAGCCGTTGTGCTCGCACTGATTATTTATCAGGCGTTTATATTTGCGTGAAAGGTTACGCACTCAAATTAAACCTTGCCATTGTGCAGGTAAAAATTGAACCTTGCCATTGTGCAGACCTTATAAAAAAGCAACCCATTGCCATTGTGCTGGGATTATTGAGACTTTGCCATTGTGCAATTTTAAAAGAATTACTAATACAAACTGTCAAGGACAAATACTGCCACAGTACACTACATATTGACAATTACTGTAACGAAACTATTTTATTCCAAACAGTGAGAATATAGAAATATGGGTGCGTCAATTGAGATATACAGACTACGAATTGGTTCACATAACAACTTTGTGCAAGGACGACAGTCCATGAATCAAATGAAAGGTAAATTTTGGAACCATATGTCAGTAATGTTCTACCTAGAAATATTTTATTTACCATGCTTGAAAAATCTAGTTACAAAGATTGAAAGTAATAATGAAGTTTGCATGTGGTATACACAAATGGTATCTTATCATGTTTACGTACCATTGCTATTGAGGCTTGCAAATGATGTGGAGGAAAATCCCGGCCCAATTAACATTTATGATATTGTTGATCATAGTTTTACGGTTCGAGCAGACTTCAACCAAGGTAATATATCCATGTTTGGCATAAATGCTGGAAAACAATGTGTTGCCATGTCAATTTATGCTATTGTATACAATGAAATAAAATTTGTTAATATTTGGGATACACCACTTATGAACATGCTTCTAGTTAATGCAAACAATCTTTATTCCATAATTAGTCAGCACATTCAGAAAGATTTCTTGTTGCTCACTGATGTTCCTGAAATATTGTCTATCAACAATGATACTTTTAATTTGGAGTACAGTGACTCTTTTTCTGGAGCATTATGGATGGAATATAACAATGAACCGTATGTTACACTTGAACACGCCTTTCATGAATTATTTGATGCGGGTAATTATAAAGCAT